GAGCACCTTAAAGCGTCTTTTGCCTATGCTGTCAACCACTGAGCGGCCATCGGAAAAGAATTGAACATTTCTGATCTCTAGGATGCAGCCATATTCTGCAAACCTGTAGGTTGAGAATGAAGTTAAGAAATTAAATCTTGGTGAGTTCTAGTTACGTAGACTGGACCCCAGCCATTTCTGTAACCCAGTGCTGTGCATCAAGGGACTTTGACGTATTTTGCAACTATATAACAGGCAATACCTATGTCAAAAAATCTAAATGTAGAGGTGTGGCTGCTACCATTTGTTGAACACATACCATGTGTATGTTGGTACATACAGTGCTATGGTTTGTCCCCCTTGAAGCTCATGTTGAAATTTAATTGCCATTGTAACACTATTAAGAGGTGGAACCTTTAGGAGGCAACTAGGTCACAAGGGCTCTGCCCCTCATGAATGAAATGCTATTATTCCAGAGGTGCGTACATTATAGATGGGAAGGTTGGTCCCTGTTCCTCTTTTACATCCTTTCTTTGCCCTTATACCATGTTAAGATCCAGCAAGAAGGCATTGTCAAGTCAGGGGTGATGGTACACACCTGTAACCCCAGCTACTTGGTGGGGCTAAGGCAAGGGAATTGCAAGTTTCAGGCTAGCCTGGCAACTTTGTGAAACCCTGTTTCAAAATAAAATAAGATGAGGCTAGAGATACAGCTCTGTGGTAGAGTGTTTGCCTAGCATGCATGAGGCCCTAGGTTTAATCCCCAGTACAAAATAATAAAAGGCCCTGTCAGATGCTGGCACCTTGATCTTGGATTTCTCTGTATCCAGAATCATGAGAAATAAATTTCCATTGCTCATAAATTACTCAGTCTATGGTATTCTATTACAGCATCCAAAAATAGACTCGGCCAAGCCAGGCACTGAGCTCAGTGCTTTATGTGCATTATTAACTCATCAATCCTCCCAACGAACAAACCCAATGAAGTAGGCACTATCACTATCCACTGATCTACAAGGAAATGGGATACTGAAAGGTTAAGTAACTTACCCAAAGTCCAACTTGTTCCAAGACTGGAACTAGAATACGAACCTAGGCAGTTGGACTCCATGGCCCATACTCTTATAAAACAAGTTTTATAATATTTATCTAATCTATGTAACAAAAGATTGATTCTGTGGTTCTTTTAAATAGGCAGCTTCTTATGCAGTAAACTAAGCATCAGAGGGACCACGATTCTTACAAATGCCCTTGTTTTGAGCTGGGAAACCCTCATGAGCTAGGTTTCTGCACCTCTGGAAGCACCCCCCAAAAATCCCTCTCCTCCCAATATCCAGTTACTCCCAGAGCTCCTCACTTACCCTTTCACAGGATCTCCAAGGCACATGCCAAACTGTCTTGTGCCTGTCTCAATGCATCTACGAATCATCAGGCGGTAACAAGGCTCAAAGATGTGCAGGGGACAAGGAACTGTGGGATAGGCCATGGTACACACGAAAATAGGCACGTTCTTATTTAAGCTGTCAAGAAGAGCAAATAAAATGAATCTCAAAGCAATGGGGATGGAACACAAAAAGGCTGGCCAAATGTAATCACATAGTTCCCAGGGGAAGGCAAGGAGTTATCACATTTTAATGACAGACAGAAAAATACTGAAATGTGACTGATGCTATGGGCTGATTGCCATTATCTTGTGCAGAGGTTAGTCTAAGGTCCAGGAGATTAAAACTGGCATTGCACACATTCTAATTTAGCTGGAAAGTTCTCTACTACCTTAACATTGTAGGTGATAGCTACACTGCAAATTCTTTTCCATCTCTCTACTCAAAACGATCCCTACCGTGGGGTGCCAGTGGCTCACGCCTGTAATCCTAGCTACTTGGGAGACTGAGATCTGGAGGATTGCAGTTCAAGGCCACATTAGACAAATAGCTCATGAGACCCTATCTCCAAAAGAGTAACCAGAGCAAAATGGACTGGAAGTGTGGCTCAAGTGGTGGAGTGTTTGCTTTGCAAGCACAGAGCCCTGAGTTCAAACCCCAGTCCCACCAATAAATAAATAAAGATGTAAGTAAATAAATAAACCAAAAAGCAAAAATGATCCCTTCAGGTATTTTTCTGGCAGTATGAGGAAGGGTACTGATGATATAAGTGCACCTGGATTTCCAGAAGGGCAGAGAAATTCTCTTTAAGGTCCTCATGCACATCTCAAATTTGCAAAGTGTCTCAGGGAATGTGCAGAGCAGGGCCAATGAGCAGGAAGAGTGGCCAAGAGACCTTCAAGAGTAATCTAGGCTGGGGGTGTGGCTCAAGTGGTCAAGACCTGCCCAGTAAGTATGAGGCCCTGAGTTCAAACCCCAGTTTTGCCAAAGGGGACAAAAAAAGTAATCTAGTCCAATGATGCTCAAATTCTCCTGTGCATCACAGCAACTGAGGACCTTAAATCCTGATGACCAGGCCATCACACTGCCAGAGATACTGATGCATTAGTTCTGGAATTGGGACCCAGAAATTTGCTTTTCAACAAGTAGCCTGAAAGACTCCAACACATGCCCCACTGGGGAACCTCTGGCTGGGCCAGTTCCTCCTGTGCTCTTATTTGTCTAGTAAATCCAATGCAGAGACATCTGTACCTCAACCTACCATTTGCCCAAACCTTAAAAGGATTAGGTTTGTGATTCCTTTAAATAGAAAGCCCCCAAATATATTCCAGTATTTATTTATAAGACCTTAATAAGTGATACTGGAGAAAAGGGCTCAGAGAGGATCAAGGCTAACTGAAGAATGAGAAAAAAAGGTAAAAGATGTCCTGAGTAGTTCCAATGTAAGTAATTGAGAAAAATATATTTCTAATTTCTGAGGAAAACATTATTCAAAGTAAGAGATACATTCATACAAACTGGTGTTAGAGTTTAGAATTGTTCTGTATGGGGTGGGCTTAAAATCAGAACAGTGTTTTGCCATCAAGAAGCTCTCGTCCTGAATGCTGTAAGGATTTTCTGGGGATGGGGAGAGGGGAGGGCAGAAGTCAGAGGGGCGGAGACTAGTAATTACTTCCTGCTTTTTCTGCTAAGTGAACAGGCAGAGAGCCTGGAACCTCACTTACATCTCCATCCTTGCCTCTCACATGACCTGTGTGTGGCAGAGGAAGCATATAACATCAGTGCTGTCACCATTTATTAAGTGCTTACTATGCACCAGCTCATAGGATCTTCATAACAAGTCCGAAATCTATTATTATTTCCAAGTTACAGGCAAGGAAACAAGGCCCAGAAAGCGATCTGCCTAGGGTTATGAAGCATACTCACTTTGTGACAGAATTGGGTCTATAGCCCAGGTGTGGCTGGCATCAGAGCTCTTAATCTCCCAGCAGCTTCTTATGTATTTGAAGACAGTCCTCTGGACACTTCAGGAGTTCACCTAATTAAGCTATTCCAATTCACTTCTGCCAGAAGCACCTTATTACTAGTGCCAAGATGTGCCCTGTTCAGTGGTTTGGTTTATGCTTCTTCAGTGGTGTGCTGGTAAATGTTTAACAGCTGGTTTTCAGGCAGAGGGGAAAGCCCTGGTGTGTAGCATTCACTAATTTCTATGGTGTAAATACTCCCATCATGGCCACTTTCAAGCTACCAACATGACATCCCTGGAAAGAACTGTTGCACATTCAGCTTTCATGAGCTGGTGTGGATGAAACTGAATATAGAAACAAGCACATACATACTTAGAAAGTTCTTCCATTTCCTCTTCATATAGCCTCCTTCGTTCTTTGAGTTCTTCTGGCAGAAATTTAGCTATTAGCTCTTCCATGATTACATTTTTGCTATATTTTCTTGATGCCAAGCACTGTAGGGGGAATAAGGCGATTAGATACTATGCTGTCCTGAGAAACACACAAAGGGCTTCAGATGCCATCAGTAGAATAGTCAAGTGATGCACATATTGGAGTAATTTCAACACATAATTTAGCAGCAGATATTATCATAATAATATTGTTTCTCTGGATGTTTGAGCTTAGAGTTTTTAAAAACATGCCCTTGATACCTTTATAATTAGGAAATATTTTAACCAGGGGAAAACTTGCACTAAAGTTTTAAAAATCCCATCCACTTTGTAAAACACTGAAATTCAGGTCATTTTCTTGTCAAAAATAAAATAAAGAATCCCCCCTTTCATTTTTCTGTTTATTGTGTTTACAAGGTCACAGAAATGGTCTTATCTGGGTGTGCTGAAAGTCAGTAGTTCAAGTTTAGGGAACTAAAAAGTCATGTTCATTGACCTTTTCCTGTCATGTCCTACCAAACTCCAATGATTGGCTTCTGGATATCTTTTCAAGCCTATATATTTTGTTCTAACTTTATTAAAAACATACACAGCTAAATACTGGTGATTTTGTTCATTTGCATTTTTAATATACCATCTAGGTATCACTGATGATATGTTAAAAGTCATAATTTCAGAAGCAAACTCAGGCTCAATGGTCACTATTAGTCTCCTCCCAAACACCAGTACCCCATGTATATCTAAGAATCTTCAAGGAGTGTGTATTTCATGGCCTGAACCAAATAATAGATGCTTTATTGGTGAATTGCTTACTGTCTTGTAAGGGAACTACCCTTACAAGACCAGCAGGGGGAGCGCCTGAGTACAAAACTGCTGGCAATAGACAATTTTATTTTTCTCTATTCTGTAATGAACATGACTGGAATATTTATCTGTGTAAATGGTGTAATGTGGTTCTGTGTGAATAGCACCTGAGTCCACAATGCCACAGTGTCTGCCCTCTGAATGCCTTATCAGCCACCCCATTGCCTGGCCACAGGAGACAAACTGCATTTTCCAGTCCCAGCCCATTGGGCAGAAGCAGGAGGTGGCCAATTCAAAAATGGATGATCCATGTAGTAAAAACTAAAAAAAAACTCCAGGAAGGGACATCCAAACTGTAATGCTGGTTTTTCTCTTGATGTTGAGCATATGGTGAACTTTCTTCTTTCTGTTTATCTGAAATTTTATAGTTTATCAACAAAATAATTATATTTAAATGTGTACTATTTAAATATAAGGTTCATAGAATTCTCATTTATAATCAGGCCAGCAAATCCCACCCCTCCATCTGATGAAACATATGACTTTGACCATTTCCCCAATCCCAGTACACACCTCAAGGTAACCAGGGGTGATTATTTCACTCTGTTCTCTTAGTGTAAATGTTGAGCTTTTGTGAAATCTCAACATGTAAATTCTCAAATGTGACTCCAGTCACCTGAGATAGTCTCTCTCTCTCTTTTTTTTTTTTTGATACTTGGGTCTTGCTATGTAGCCCAGCTGGCCTCAAAGTTGAGATTCTCCTGCCTCAACTCTCAAGTGCTAGGAATATAGTCATGTACCACCATGCACAGCCCCAGAGACAGCCTTGTTTCTCCAACCTCTCCTCATGAAGAATAGGGATCAAGGAACATTAATACTGGCTGTAAAATGTAATCCATAAGTCCCCAAGGGAGGAAATGAAAGACAGATTCCTGAGTGGTCTTTTGCTACAGAAAATTCCACAGGTCCACTTGAAAAACAAAGGTGGGAGTTTGTGTGATCAGTTTTGAGAACTGGGAACCCAGAACTTCACAAGTAGCCCAGTATCTCCTAATAAGTCAGTGGTTTCCTGAGGGGTTGGACAAAGATAACATTAAGGATCTGTGAGGTTTTGGGGGACCCTGGAGGTAATTTCTTCAAAAACATATAATAAACAATGTTGATAAGATGACATCAGAGCAATCTAGTCACAGGTTAGAAAGTTCAAGATATCTACCCAAGATTACAGTCTATCATGTGCCACGATGGATTAGAACCAGGCTCATTTATCATCCATTTAATACTTTGTTTCCAATGCAAAATAATTTCCTTCCTGACAGTTCATAAAAAAACTATATGTTCCCTCATTTTCCTGAAGCTTTGAGAAGAGGGAAAGGATGCCTAGCATCAGGAGACAAGGAGGATATGAGGGTATTTTGCTTTTATAATAGTACACTGGTTTGGGATCCAACTGAACACTATTTAATACCCAATTTCTTAATGAGCTAACTCAACTAAGAAAGAAATATTGGATTACCTGTGAAAGACCGTCTTTGCACAATGGACACTTTGCATTGTGATCTAGGCATCTCTCCAGACATTTTAAGCAAAATGTGTGTCCGCAAGGTGTCGTGACTGGCTCATAAAATAATCTGAAATTTAGAAATCAAAAAATGGAGGAAAATTATAATAAGACCAAAAATAAAAGACAGAGGGTACCTACAATTAAGGTTTTATAGAATTACTTGAAAATCTGTGTGTGGGGAGAATTCTTTTTGTTTTTTAATCACTACTATCATTGCAACTTCAGAAAAGTGTTCTTTTCATTCTGAGCCAGATTTTAAAATAATGCATCTCTTAAATTTAGGCATAGCTAGATCATTT